GTATTTTACATAATGAAAACAAAGGTAGTTACTCAGATAGCACTCACAAAGGTTGAAGAGAATGGTTTTATTTTAACACCTCTACAGTGCTGTCATTCTGTCTTAAATATGAAAAAAACCCCAACACACTCACCCCTTTCGACTACGCTTACGTCCCATTAGTTAAGTGTCGTTAGTTCGCGAATCGGAAGTTTTGCTTGAAGTGAAACTACTTATTCTAAAGAAATTGTGCCAAAGAAAGCTTAATTGTAGTCTGCAAGATGTAGGACCTTCATTTTATAAAGTTGTGCCTTCCTCGTATTTAAGGTGATATTTTTGCATATAAATCCACATAAGCGAGTGGCTTACGAGGAAATTCGTTTTGCGTCGTATACAAGGCATGTTTTTGCATAATTCAAGTCAAAGTCATTTATTTATTATTTTACTCCTATTTCCTGATTTTCAAAATGGATGGAGGGACGTTGTTCTGGGCCAAATATCGGGAGATGTTATTTGTCGATTCGAATGCTATTTACAACTGATTGGTCTGCTTACCACATTTTCATAGATCAGGCCTGCTCGACTTATTTGTGTTGGTTATCATATCATCGCTATATACATTTGTAAATCTGAAATCATCGCCATATATAGATGTGCAAATGCGTGGACGTTGTTATGTTCTAGACGTAACGCCTAGCTGTTGGCCCGGTTGACAACTCTCGCAATCGATTCCCCAAAAGGAACTCTTCAGCAAGGGTGAAGAACACGAGTCTATTGCTGAATTCCCAACAGCGAAATCTTTTGACAGAGGGTAGATACAGAATGTCCAAGGACGTCCAGCAATTGGGCCAGTTAGCTCATGTCCTTGACCTGTTGGCTTGTGGACTGGTCTTCTGACTCAACTGAGTAGCTGGGCGCCCCTCCAGTCCTGCCGGTACCTGGCACGATCTCAACGTGCACACGCCGTAAGGCAGATCGACAGGGCAGCATGCGGGCGTCAGAACGGCTTGCGAATAAGTCGGCTAGGATGCCCTCTTCTAACGGAAGCAACCTCACTCATTGTGAAGACGAAAAAACGCCTACCTTCGAAGCAGTCTTCGTCATCGAAACAACCGTTCAGAAAGAGGTGCTAAACCTGAAGGAATCGACCTCCCCAGGTCACGATGTAATCCCGGCCAAGGTGCTGAGGGAGCTAGCTCCCGAAATGTCCAAACCGTTAATCTTAATCTTCCAAACGTCATTTGTTTCTGGGTGCCTACCCAGCTACCAGCCCTCCGCTTATTAATGGATGGAATTCGGGCGTCTGCAAATAACAACAGGCAGCGAGTATCCCTCCATCTGTTGCAAAAGCATGGAGATCATTAAGAAAGCCTTGATTGAGTTCCCTAAGCAACACCACCTCCTCTAGGATGCCCAACACGGCTGTCGAAGTGGTAGGTCCTGTCTCACGAATCTGCTCTTTTCGCTCGAACACTGGACCAAAGCACGCGACAAAGAAAATGTGGTGCATGGCATCTATATCGACTTCAAAAAGGCCTTGAATCGCGTTCCTCATCAACGTCTCTTGCACAAACTGTGCAACGCAGGAATTCTTGGACGCCTTCTGGTATGGATCCAGAGCTTTCTAACTGGACCGTCTCAAAGAGTGCAGGTCGGGCGCCAACAGTCCTCAGAGATAAGCATGGTGAGTGGCGTCCCACAGAACTCCGTCTTAGGCCCCACGTTATTCCTCGTTTTCTCAAGTGACTACGTCAGGGGCCTAGACTGTTATGCCATCCTGTTTGTTAACGACATAAAATCGTGGAAAGTTATTCACAGTGTGGCAGACGCAGACCACCTGCATGCAAACTTGAGCAGGCTCGAGGACTGGGCGAAGCGATGGCTTATGCCCTTCAATGTAAGCAAGTGCATCTTCATTCAACTCGTCGACTTCAGGGCATTCAGCCTAAGCACTAACTTCCTACACGGCACGCCACCGCAACAACTTGACAGTTAGAAAGACTTGGGTGTGTGGATTGCATCTTCACTCAAACCAACAATGAACTGCGCGAAGGCAGCTAAGTCGGCCATGGTTACATTGCAACTCATTAGGCGAGCCTTTAGGGGATTTGACACTGCCTACTTTTCCAACTTATTTGACATCTCCGTACAGCCTCATCTAGAAGGCGCTATACAGGCGTGGAGACCTTGGACTGCCAAGGACTATACAGCCTTGGAGAAGGCCTAGAAACAGGCGATTAAAATGACAAAAGGTCTGGGAGCACTGCCCTATGAAACCAGACTGTCAACTCTCAACCTGTTTCCTTTTTCCTACAGGCAACTACGTGGTAACCTTATCAACGGCCCAGACTATTGTTTTGATTCCACTGATTACTTCATTTTAGCTAACACGCCCACCCTGATCGGTCATCCTCTGAAAATACGCTCAGGGAAAGTAAGGATCAAGGGGTGAAAGTTCTTTTTCAGTAACTGAGTGGTTGCAGTGTAGAATGCCCAGTCTACCGATGCTGTACATTGCCCCTGTGTGAATTCTTTTAAGTGTAGACTTGACGCGTATCAGGTTTTCCAACTACCAGCCTCACGTCCATTCACAGAGTCCGGTACCAACTTATATACATTTATACTAATTTATTACTCTTTTTTCCACTAGCCGACAACTGTCTGCAATTATATACAAAATCTCTTTTTTACTTTTCTATTTATCAGTATTTTTTCCAAGGAGTTGTAACCAATGGGGATTTTAAAGGCGCTCGCCTATATTTCCCTTAATAAAACTGGACTGAGATGAACAGCCGCCCAACCGGAAGGAAGAATTAAGACCAGTAATGCCAGGTGTGTTAGTTAAAGAAACCAACTATTATGTTGCGAGGAGTGGATATGAGAGGACGAAGGCGAGTTGCGTTAACAGGTAATTTATTCCAACAGCCCCGAAAGCATGGATATCAGTCCACTAGAGCGAGCTCTATCTTCTAAACTCCCGAGGGTTTCAGAACGCTCTGGCTGGTGGATTTCTTGTCGTGGATTGGCCGTTTCTCACGCGGGAATCACCTGGAGGGAAGATCTCGAACGTTCGACCGACAATTGACTGGCCCCGCAAGTAAGCAAAAGCGTCGCGTTTGCTCAGTGACAAAGAGCACACTGCTTGGCCAAATTATTACATACGTACATTTCATAGTGGGTTTGGCCTGCTTTTCCATGAATGGTCAGGTTTTCTTTTCGTATTAGCCGCGACACTATTCCGTTCTCTTTTTCCATAGCATTACTCTCTCTTAACAATTGAACGTCGGGCCTCTTTCTCCTCGGATCCAATATCAGTTTTTCAGGCGACTGTGGTCATCTGCGGCTTCTACGGACGGTGGGTTAAATGACAAGGAAGTCGGGACCTCGAATATAGCCCAAAAGAAGTTGAGTTGTTCTTGTCTGTCTGTGGTGGATCTGTGCCGAGTCAGTTCCCATGGCTTCTGATTTTTACGACTGCTGCTGTGCGACTGCCTGCGAGTGTTCTAGTATGAGCCCCAAGGCACAAAGGAACAAGCATGTTCCGTAACCTAAGCGGATCGGTGGGCGCCCACCGTCATAATTGATATTCCCGATCACAACCGACAGGACAACGGGCCCGTGGCTCAATGGTAGAGCGTCAAACTCCATGACCAAAGATCCCGGGTTCGAATCTCAAGTGATCCACACTTGGGGTTGGGTATGACTGGCTGATGACGGCCAATAAGCCAGAAATGGCCATTCCAGTCTCCCTTGTCTTTGTCAATAATGCTATTTTGCCTGCATATCATGCGTCGCTGTGCGGCTGCTGGTTGGGCTCGAGAGAGAGCCCTTAATGCACAACGGAACGAGTGAGTTCCGTATGAACGATCGGTGAGCGCCACCCATCATTGTATATTCCTGATCGAAAACCGACAAGGCAACGGGCTCGTGGCCCGGTGAGTAGAGGCGTTGACTTCTAAATCAACAGGTCGCGAGTTCGAGGCTCGGGCGTTCCACAATTCGGGCTTGGCTATGGCTGGCTGACGACGGCTAATAAGGCAGAAGTGGCCATTCCAGTCTCCCTTGTCTTTGTCGGTAATGCTATTCTGCATATATATATATATATATATATATATATATATCATTCAGGAATGGGCGCAAACCGATCTATTGGCTTCACAAAGCAAACAAGCTCCGTATGTGTGACAAAGGTCACGAACAGGCAACCAATTACCAGGCCGAAGTCGGCCAAGTCATAATAGCAGCAAAGAGGGACGACAGAGAATGCGGGTAGATTGATACAGCAATGTTTCGGGCTTATTCTGCCTTCATTCAGCCTGCTAGGCCTCAGTGGTGGACCGACTGCGCCAGGTGCGTCTGTGCGCATGTTTGTGTTTCTGGTCTCAGCTGCTGGTGGTCAGGGTTATGATTGGCTGAATGAAGGCAGAATAAGCCCGAAACAGTGCCGTATCAATCTACCCGCATACTCTGTGGTCCCTCCTCGCTGATATATATATATATATATATATATAATAAAAGGAGAAGGCTCGTCGGAAAATCGATTTTCCGACGAGCCTTCTCCTTTTATTATATCGCCTCGGAATGCATACTACCTTCATTATTCATATATATATATATATATATATATATATATATGAAGAGAAGCTCCAAGCTCTCCTCCGTCCTATCAATGACAGTAACATTTCGACGAGAGTTGTCAACCTTTCGAAAAGGATTCTCACACCCGCCGAATCAAGCCTATTGTCTAAAGGAATACGGTTCAGTCATGTCGATGCTGCGCCTACAAACTTCTTGGCGAACCTGGAATCCCTCCTGCTAACCTCATCCATCCCTGAAGACATGCGTGCGGACATACGCAACTGTGCGACCGGCCTCCTCCGGAAAAGAAGACACCAGCAAACCTTGCCGATGGAAGAGGAGAAGGGATTACGATCCCTGAGGTCAGACGACAGTATCGTTGTTGTATCTGCTGACAAAGGTGGTGCTACTGTCATTATGGACAAGACTGACTATGTCAATAAGGCCAACCAGGCCTTTAATGACAGAGAGGCCTATACCCCAATTGCTGAGGATCCGACGAAAAAGCAGGCCGCATCTATAAAGAAGAAGGTGAACGAGCTCACTCGTAAAAAGCTCATAAACCCCGCGGACTCCAAATTTCTGACTCCCAACGACACCCGTATCGCACGTGCTTATGGCCTCCCAAAGGTGCACAAAGCAGGTGCCCCGTTGAGGAACATAGTACCGCTCATTGGATCGCCAACATATAACCTTGCCAAGTGGCTGTACAAGCACCTAAAGCACCTCACGAATGGATGGCAGTACAGCATCAACAACTCTCATGCTTTCCTTCAGAGGATCCAAGGACTTAATGTAAGCCCTGATGAATGCATTTTATCGTTTGATGTAGTTGCTCTATTTTCCTCAATACCGCATAACTTGGCCATTGAGAGCGTAGCTCGACGCCTAGAGGAAACTCCGATTGGCATTCCAACAGAGCACGTTTTAGACATGCTTGGGCTTTGTCTTAAGAACTATTGTCAATTCGATGGCAAGTATTACCAGCAGGTAAAGGGCACCCCCATGGGTTCACCGATATCCGGCCTACTCGCCGAACTAGTCTTACAAAGACTAGAAGAAGTTGTTATTCAAGCCATCAGACCAAAAATGTGGCTCCGCTACGTAGATGATACCTTCGTAGTCATAAAAAACTGCGAAGTTGAACGACTGCACCAGAGTCTTAACGGTGTTTTCTCCGCCATACAATTCACACGCGAAGAAGCAACAGGGGACATCCTCCCTTTTCTTGACGTCAGTGTACAAAGACTGACTGATGGCAATCTCGCAACCAGCGTCCACAGAAAAGACTCCAGCGCNGGTGAATAATTTCAGAAATTAATCAATGCAGAACTTGGAGTTAAATCTCCGGGACATGACTTTTTAGGGTCAGAACCGAAATGTCAATGAACATTTGAGTCGAAGACAATCAACTACTGTGGAATAACCACGTAATGCCCATTCTACAAACAAGTAGTACTACGAGTAGTATGAATTCCATATGGTAATGGTAGTATACCGTACTCCCGACCTAGGTACTTGCTAGGTACTTGCTAAAAAGTCATGTCCCGGAGATTTAACTCCAAGTTCTGCACTGATTAATTTCTGAAATTATTCACCTGATTATTCTCTGGAGTTCATATACCGGAAACCGCTAGAGAACGCTGGGGGTCCCACTGAAGAGCCGAACCCCTCGCAGCTGTGTCACGCAGCGGCAGAATATCGGCGAAACACGTGTCTGGGCTTTTAGCAAGTACCTAGGTCGGGAGTACGGTATACTACCATTAATATATATATATATGTGTGTGTGGGTGAAAGTTCGTTCAATGGCAAAGAGAACACCGGTCGCCCATTTGGCCGTCGTAACACATAGAAATAAGGGCTTAAGTCTCGACAAATGTTGTTCCCAAGATCATTTTGTGCGGTTATACGTAAAAGGCGCCCTCCGCCAGGCAGTTAATGGTTGTTCTCTCTATCAGCTCTTCCGTTCGTTTTGAGTCGTCGTGCGACACACTCCTCAAGGTCCAACTTTAACAGCCATTTTTGGACCATTTGCATAGGTGGTTCAGTCCTTCTTGCAGGGTCTATTCATCATTTTCCCCGTTGATCGGTCTTAATCTAATTTATTATGTTCCCCCTGACCCCAGACTCTTGCACCTTCTAAAGTAACCGGCAGCGTGGAACACTATCAAAGGCTTTCCTGAAATCTATGTAAACGATATCGGACCTTGTTCTTTCGTCTAACGAGCGGGACCACTGTTTCATTGAATAGAGCATATTAGTTTAGCAGGAGTGATTTCGTCGAAAGCCATGTTGGGAACTATCAAAGAAATGCTTTTCAAGGAACTTCATAATGGCTTTTTCGACTACCCTCTTCATGAATTTTCAACAAATGCACGTTAGGCTCACCTGCCGATAGTTGTATGCACTTGCTCTAGATCTGCGCTTGTGGATGAGGTGTACATTCGTCACTTTTCAATCAGCAGGGAGAATGCCTCGGTCAAAGCGCGACTGGGAAATATGCAAAAGTAGTCTGGCGAGTTTGCAAGCCAACTCCTTTAGAACTTTTGCTGGTATTTAATTGGACCCCGAGACACACACTCCATAAGCGCTAGAAATGCCTTCATCACATCTTCCGTGAAGTCTATGTTTCCATTATTTCGTCGGACGTTCCAGACGGGCAATCTGGTCTCTTCAAAGTCTGTTTCACCAGTGAAAACTGATGCGAAAAACCGGCTGAGATGTTGTGCCTTAGCGTCATTTTCGATGATATCCCCATTGTATTTTCCCTTAAACTCTGGGACCGTTTCTTTGTTCTTTAACCTGCTGTTAATGTAATTGAAGAGTACTTTTGGCTCGTCGACGACCCGTTCCATAACTCGCTTTTCATATTCCTTCCGCGACCTGAAGATAGTCAACCTTACCTCGTTTACCTTTTCGTGAGACTGGTCATAATGGGAAGGTTTTTTGCTGTTGCATACCTTCTCCGTAGTTAATTCTTCCGGTTTACCTCTTTCTTTATGTCTCGCATAATCCAGGCAAGATTATCAGTCTTTTCGACTCTCTTTGTCGACAGTCTCGATGTATAACATCAGTTACAACTCCTTTGAATGTGTTGCAATCAACATCTGGATGTTCGGCAAGAACACCGATCTATTGGCTTCACGAAGCAAACAAGCTTCTTCGTGTTTCCGATAAGTCACTCCTCATGCTGGCAAAATTTCCTCGTCAGAAATTCAGCCGAGGCTCAGTCGTATCCGTTTGTTGGCTGCATATGGTGCCGACAACAATGTAATAACACGTTTATTTGGACTTGAATGCCACACTATCGATTATAAGTTGGCCTTCGGAGACAATCTCTATAACCCTTATATATACTGAACTATTTTTCCATTTGCTGAAATGCTCTTATCCCAAGGGGTTTTCCGCTGTTTAAAGCATTTTTGTATTCTTCTGAACTGATGCTGTTAAGTGCCTCCGGCGATTTCTCCTAAACTCTTCTACTTTCTCAAGACCTTTTTCTATAAGTTTTTCTTCATTCTTGGTAAGAAGTCACCGGGGACCAGGCCGGCGAGTAAGGGAGTGATAAGCCATTGTCATATCGTTGATCATCAAAACGGATAGATTTTGAACGCTATGTGGGCAGGAGCGTTGTCATAATGAGACAGCAACTCACCTGGTCGTCACAATTCAGGTCGTTCTTTTCTCAGTAACCCACGTAATGGCCTCAGCAACTTCACATAGCAAAGCTTATTGACTGTGGTGCCAGGGGGAACAAATTAAACGCGGATAACCCCTCTGATGTCGAAAAAGCAAAACATTACCGACTTCAAGTTTGTTGCACCTGACATGCAAAAATGTTGCCCAGAGCTTTGAGAGGGGATTTAATAAGACAATCACGCCGTTCATTGCGATGTGTCCTCATGAACGCTGCTCGGTCAGATGAGCAAACACGCCTCGCTGGGAGGGGGCAGAGGTGCCAACCAACTTGCCAACAGAAAATACCCGATATTATTTTTGAGTATCACATCTTACCATGATGGCCGGCATGAAAATTACGACAAAATAATTGCTACTATGATGTGGCGAGAATGTTCACTTCAACGTAATTTTTAAAACAGTCGTCGATGATGTTCTACTGTTCCGTTCAGCTTTTTAAAGGTTTTAGCTGAGTGCACTTTGTCACATTTGGACCAACCATCCCGAATAAGCCGTTTTAACAAGCGCAACATTTGGTCTAGTATGGTGATCATGATGATATTTTCAGCTGTAAGAGCCACGCAAGAGGGGCATCGTACTGGAAAATGCCGCTTGTGACCGCTACGTTTTCTTGATTCGAATTGTCTAAACTTAGTCGAAGTAAGGCGTTAGGACCTCTGAAATTCTAAGTGGGCATATACTGGACCACCAAGACAATTCTAGAGAACCGCGCTCATCGCTATGTCTTCTTGAGAGTGTACTGTAGCACGTCGAGACCTGTGCCCAGGCAAAACTTTAATTAATTGTTGTCCGCTTGCAGGACGAACTGCTGACCATAGATATAATAACAAAGCCTCTATTTCGCTAAAGTAAATGCGAATGCATCTTTTCTGTGTGGTTGTTTTTTATCTCCGGTTTCGTGGGCGGTCATGGGACATGCATAAGGGCGTGACTATTCTAATGGTGAGGATTTTCAAGCCAATAAACAGACGCTTAAGCCTAAACCGCTGTTTTCCCGTCTTGAAGTGTGAGGGCATGATTGGAAATAGATGCAGTGAAAGCGATCGGAAAATTCATACGGGCAAATGATTCTTCAGTTGATCGCTGACAAATTCCTTGCTCTAGGCGTTTCCACAGACACCCGACTCTATAGTGGGCAGCTGTCGAGTTATTTACAATAATAGTAATAATCATAATTTTATTCAATGTCAGTTTACAGGCAACGTCAAGGAAAAAACTCCTGACCAAAAATAAAGAGGGTAGTGGCTTTGTATAGTTTGTAGGTTTCAGAATAAAAAAACTGCTGCCCTTGAAATGACGACAGTCAAGAGAGGGAGGAATAGCACTGCATCGGATATTATCAGTCGCCAACTCTTTTCATGAAGCTGAGACTGGACCAACCGGAAGCCCCGAAGGACAGCTGTCGCTCTTGGCCAAAGAAATTCTCCCTGGTGAGACCGGTCATAATGGTCAGAGACCGCAAACGCCATCGCTACGGTAGAGTAGATCAGTAGATTTAGCACCCAAAATTTGAGGAAGCTTTTCTGAACGCAAAAATAGAGTAATAGTTCACTTAAATAAGATTAATTTTGCAGAGCCTTCACATTCCTGCGTAGTTTATTTCGAATAGCAGTTGTTTTCACATAAAAGAACCGATGATATTTAACGGTACATGCCAGAGGAACAAATAAAAAGACCTCACGGTGACTGTTATGTTGGGTGTGGATAAGACGTCTTTAAGTTAGCAGCACGTTAAAAGTAGGACTGTTTAAGAGCTTAAACAGGAAAAAATCCCTTTTGCAGTCGTTGGAGCCACACGGGTCAAGGCCTGCAAGTCGGCAAGTTTTTTGGTAGGACAAATGTCGGTGTCCCGGGGTTAAAACTCCGCTGGTGAAAAATGTTGGACGGATTCCATTTTCCCCCGCTCAGCAGCACACATATGGCTACATAAAAACGGGCAGTATTCCAGGCCAGATCCGACGTACATGTTGTAAAGGCGCAATCTTATATCGCTGGTTTTAAAATTCCGGAGCACAAACCCGATTTTTTTTCGTGTTTTGGCGACTATTAGGACGCGGTGCTCCGAAAAATTAAGTCTCTTTGTGTATGGTACACCCAGATCCCTAATAACGTCTGGTACATTTATTTCGTGACTGTCAATACTTACTAAGGTTGATGGTCGTAGTCAACCACCATGACTGAGCACTTATGCCAAGAGAGAGGAAGGCGCCATGTGCGGCACCGCTGGGCAAAGTATATAAAATCCAGAAGTTTGCCGCCTATGCCGAAAGTGGAAATTTTCGAGAGATAAAGAGCATGGTCAACAGAACCAAAAGCCTAAATGAAATCGAAAAAGACTGTGCAATTTGCAAAACCATTGTCCCTGGATCGGAGAAAATAATCAAAGGAAAAGAGCCGACAGGTATCGCAAGACCAAAATTTGAAGAATCCATGCCGTGCAGCGTTCAGTAGGTTATTATTCCTTAATTAGCACATCATTTTATCTTTGACAAATGTCCATGAGATTTTCGAAACTGCTGGGAGGACGTTTGTTGGCCGAAAGTCATCAAGTGACGTAGACTGGCCACGCTTGGGAATAGGCAAAATGTGTGATTCCTTTCACAAAGTAG